CCACGTTTTCATTAGCACATATTAATGACACAAGGCAAGGTGTTTTGTTGTGATATTTCTGTACATGCACGTAATGCTCTTTGGTCAGAGTCACGACTTCTAAGTCCAGCTGCATCTCCAGTTTCTGGGCTGCGTGGGGGATGTGTCTGCATCTGAGCTCCTCGTGGGAGCCACTTGCTGATTTCACGCCACTTGATTTTCAGGATGAGAAGGAAGGTTGTCATGACCTGACACTTCCTGTAACTCTGCTGACTGCTGGGTTTTGGTTGTGTTCACAGTGTGGCATCTGGGCTGTTCCTTCTTATCTATATGCTGATATTTCTCATGCTCCCTAGCTTTTTCACCACCTTACCACAGAGGAAAAGGGATCATCACCCTGGGGAGATAGAGGGGTTGTAGAGTCTCCAAGTTTCTCAAGGGAGGAGGGACAGGCCCAGGAGCTCCAACCCCTTCAGCCCTGGCCTTTATCTGTGCTTCAGGTTGGGAAGCTGCCATTAGTTGTGACCACCTAGTAATAACTTTACAATCCAACCACACAGTGCCAGGATTTGACAGCACTTCTCCATTATTTTCAGTAGAGCAAAATAGTTAGAGATAAACAAGAACCAACTATATGCTTAGAAATGAGAGGGTGAAACACTGCTGATTAAATATAGATGATGAAATGGCTGAATGCACACAACCTGGTGTCCAGGGGGGTTTGCAATCAGTGGTCAGCCTCCACACTCTGGCTATTGAAATGGGAAGAATCTCAAACAAAGGCTGGTGTCCTGATTGGTGGTCACAACATCTAACAGGATGGTCCACTCTGGAGCATAAGCACCTGGAAGACTGGCCAGCAGGAAGCTGATCAGGTGGGAGAGTAGGAGGCAGGGGTTGTGGCTTCGGGAGAGATGACAGGAAAAATAGGACCACAGTGTGCTGTACCAGGGAGACACCGGAATTCTAATCATGGCAGCAGACCAAGGCACTTAATGAAGGTGCCCAGAGGCCACGAGGTTGATGAAACTCCATTCAGGGTACTTAACACGGGTGTCAGCTGCTGCTTATGCTGTTGTTGCTTCTGCTATTGAAACACTTGAAATCTGATCAGGATGGGTTCTGGGATATAAGCAACAGAAGCAGCACTGGGCATTGGAGGCCCTGCTATAGAAGGAAGGAGGAAGGGAGGAAAGGAGGGAGACCAATGTGCCTGCTGGTCCTGAGGCTTGAACCAAGGACCTGGGCAATGTCTGTCCTTTAAGCTTTTTTACTTACAGCTTGCTCTCTGTCACTTGAGCCACAGCTCCACTTCTAGCCTTTTAGTGACTAATTGCAGATAAGAGTCTCACAGATGTTCCTGCCTAGGCTAGCTTTGAACTATAATCCCCAGACCTCAGCCTCCTGAATAGCTGTGATTAAAGTCATAAGCCACTGGTGCCTGGCTAAACATGATTCTTAAATATTCCCCAAACCAAAGAACTGCCATTCTTATTGTATTCATTACTATCTTATTGTAATATTGGCATGGTAAAGAGTTCATGGTTTTTATTGTTTTCTCCCATTCAGAGCTAAGAAGAGGAGTAGGATTTGTAATTTCTTTGAAATGCGTGTCTGCAACTATGTCACAGCTTTTTGTTTCACATATTTTCTTCATCTGCTTGGCTATTAATGAGTTTTGTAAAAAATATTTGGTTGACCCACATGAAACTCCTGATACTCAGCTGTTTAAGAAGTACCAGTTCCTAAGGGTCAGCCCAATAGGCCTTGCTGTCTCTACCTACTTTTCCTGCAAACACAGCTTCTTTCTGAATACAGAAAGAATGCGGGAAGGCCAAAAGAGCCAAGGGCCCACAGAGGATCTGTGCTGCAAGCCCCTCTCAGCTGCAGGGCTTGCCAGTCTGATCTCTGTCAGGGATAACTTGGAACTTGAGCAGATTTCCTCTTTACCCATCAGAAACTGACATTTTATTGTGGCCAACACAACTTGAAGTCATAGAGATTTCAACTTAGGTCAGCAGTTTTCTAAAAGAGCTATGTCTTTGGGAATGACAGTTTCCCAGTTATTTGACTAAATTCAAATATTCCAAAATAAGTTTCAAATGTTTTTTTAAAATCATATTTAGGACTTCAACTTTTTTCCCTATGTGAGTAGATTTTTGCAGAATTGTACATGCTCTTAAGCATACAGAGAGAGAGTGAGAGAGAGAGGGGGGAGGGAGGAAGAGAGGGAGGGAGGAAATTAGGGAGGAAGAGAGAAAAGGAGAGAGAAAGATCGGAGTGGCGCTGTCTCTTTTACCCATTTCTCTGCAAAGAGGGAAGGGAAGAACAGCATGACACTAAGAAAATCTGCTTTTGGCATTCTGAGAACCTGAATGCCGCAAACAATTATACAGAAGATTTCTCCTCCCCACTTCCTTTGGACCATTTGTCACTAACTTCTTTCAGATTGGCCACCAGCATCTTCCTCTTCAACTTATGGTTTTGTCATTTAATATATTCTTTAGAACCTTACATGTGATTCTACTTTGCATAATCTGGAGTTGTGTCCTCATGTGCCTCACAGACAGGAACTACTTTATACTACTGGTGCTGAACTGAGCAAGAGGGTTCATGCAATCTATTTCCAAATGCTGAATAAGTAAATCTTAGGTAGAGGCAGCACTTACGCAGGTTCCATTCACAGAGGTGAGATGAGAGAAAATTAGGAAGGACACTCACCACCATAATGATCATTAGAAAGCAACAAATAGGGAGTATGCATTGGATGTACAGCAGAGCTTTGAGGTACAAAATCTCAGTGAATCCACAGAATCTTGATGGAAACACAGTCTCTTAGCATAATGCCTTGCAGCCTCCTCTGCAATCTTAAATTTCCTACAGTGTAACTAAACAGACCTCTCTTGCTCTTTTGCAAAAGCAAAGGGTCCAAATCTCCTGGACCACTCTCGAGCTGATAAGCTCCACCCTGTCCCATCCTCAGCCAACCCAATCCTGGCAGACCCTGTTAAACTAGCTTGTGAATTCTTTGCACAAGAAGGATTACCATAGCTTCTTTTGTGCTCCGTGTTTTGATGGTGCTAAAACCCCTTTTCCCTCTTCTGTCTACCTAATTGATGTTACTGATTAAGCAATTTGGGGAATTCCCTAGAAATTGCCAGAAGGCCCTGGGGAAGTTGCTTATTCAGTGTGATCCTGTTTCCTTACCTGTAAACTGTGCACCTGAATAACTTCTTGAGTATTTGTCTGTAAATATTACAAATAATATAAAAAGCACTTTGCATTGTGATGGACAAATAGTATATATTTTGTTTTTTATTACAAAATTATTACAAAATCATTCACTGCTATCACCTTTACAATAACAATAAAATGCATTAAAATAATTAAATTGCAGCTATTAGTATGTATGTTTTTACCTCTTCCCTGGGTTTATCTTCTCTAGCATGGTGCATGTGCTCTGTTAATGGACTATCAAATCACTAACTACATAGACTAGCAGCAGTTATCCTCACGCAGAACATGCATACAGAGCATTCTCCAATCCACAGCAGTGTGCTGCGCTGTGGTGATGCTGGCATTGGCCCATCTTACCACATCAGGCAAGGCTGATGTCATCCAGATTCCAGAACTCTTTTCCAGATGCATCATCACCTTTGAGTCCAGGCCCCACCTGGAAAACTCTGTACCTTAAATTAAAGTTTTCTTTGGTTCCTGACTTTATCACCACCTTTAAACAACAAGAGAAAACTCGCATAGAGTCATAAGCAGTTACTTTCATATAGTCATAAGCAATTACTTGTATACTATGTATCTGTAAGCTTACAGTAAATAGGAACTGAGTTTCTAAAAAAAGCAACCAACTATTTCACCGCTGATGGCTTTCACCATGTGTTTGTCTAGCTGTGGAATGTCAGCCACCATTGTGTGTGTGTTGTGTGTGTGTGTGTGTGTGTGTGTGTGTGTGTGTGTGTGTGTGGTTTCTCACAACAGCTCTTCTGAAACCTGATCTGTTTTTTCACTCCACTAAGGAGGAACTCTGAAGCCTAGACAGGACACAGCTTCCCCAGAGTAATGTCTAGGCAACCTGTCGTGCCTGTGATTTTCATGGCACCAGCTGCCTTGTACCTGGCAGCAGTGAAGAGACCTTTTTGGAGACAGGGACAAGGGCACAGAGGCATAATGGGGACAGTGAGTGTAGCTGAGTCACGTGTCCACTCAGATCGCTGTACCTAGGGGCTGGTTCCAGCAGCACCCAGGCTTCAGGGATCTACTTGGTCATGGTAGGGGCAAGAAAAGAGCCAGGAGAAGTGGGCTCATTGACCTGCAAAGCACCCCAGTATAACCTAACATAACCTCCTTAGGAAGTTACAGGGCGATTATGTAGAAATGCAGATGGTGTTCCTGCAAACCTAAATAGTAGGCACTGAGAGCATGATGTTCTTGGATTCTGGTGAATGGTCTTAGCCAAGGAGTCAAAAGAGGCTAATCTCACTGCTCTGGTGGAAGCTGTGGGGCAACTGGATGCCACTGTTAGGTTTCTGGATGCTGTTGTCTGGTGAATCTGCCTGTGCTATTTCAGCTGCCTGGGTCTAGGGTCTGCAACATGAGATGTTCTCAAAAGGCAATATGAGAGGTGAGCACTAGTGAGCTCATGCTTGTAAGCATAGCTGTTAAGGAGATCTGAGGATTGAAGTTCAAAGCCAACCTCGGCAGGGAAGTCCATAAAACTCTTATTTCCAATTCATCAGCAAAACGCTAGATGTAGAGGTATGGCTCAAATGGTAGAGCACAAGCTTGAGCATGAGTCCTTGGGTTCAAGCCCCAGTTCCAGCATTATCACCCCCCCTCCAAAAAGAAAAAAAAGGCAGTATGAAAAGAAATTATTATTGAGTGTGTTCAGGGAGAGAAGAATGTCGGATTTCCTTTTAAATATTAAATGCAAGTCTATTCCAATGACAATGGAGATCTGATTGATCACTCAAAAATGACAGCTGTGCTTTCATTTTTATACAAAACAGTGCTTTTGGCTGCCCTTATTCGGACATGAACTTGAAGAAGGAGGTCACAAGTCCTGGTGGTCTAAAAGAACAAACTCAAGCACCTCTGGAAGCAGATGCTTCCCACTCAACACTGAAAAATCTTTCTGGTCTGAACTTCAATGGGAAACATGCAAAGGTGAACAGTCAGCCCCGGTAAGAAACTTTCAGTAAAATACAAACCAAGAAGTAAACCATGTAGACTAATAAAGGAACAATTGTGTTGTTTGTTCTTGACTTATGGCCAAAACAGTTCTTATTTCTGGACATTGGTTATATTCAGTAGCTCACAGAAGTTACCAAGGCCTGATCTACATCTTAAAATATTTTCTGTTAGATCATATACAGATATAACTTCTTGCAAGTATATAAGTAATCAGCAAAAAGTATATCTCATCTGTACGTTCTAGAAGATTCCCTTTCATTGTACAAACGCCTTTGTTCTTTGGACTCCTTTCACAAGCGTTCTGTCTTTGGCCATGGTTGAGTGCATCTGCTGAGTCACAGCAGGATTTTCCTCTCCTGTTTGTTCCTGGCCTTCGTCACCTCAAATCCGGACAGACCTGAGATATGATTTCTTTCTCTGAGTAGTTTCCATTTTGACTCTTTGATAACATAATGCTCTTTTATTTCTCAATATAAACTTAAAGAATCACTTCACAATTTTTCATTTCTATAGTTCGTCACAATTTTTATTAAACTACAATTATTTCCGAAATAAGTGTATGGAGCATACACAAACTTACTAGATGACTTTTAGCCTTAGTAAGCAAACAGATAATATCTATTCTCTGAAGTCCTCTTCACTCCATGTTAGGAAGTATAAACACAAGGAAAATTCAACAAAAGGGACCAGGTAAGGACTGAGCTGAAAATGGCTACACAGACATGTTCCAGACCCACTGTATGTGGAAGGAGTTACATCCAAAGCCTTGAGGACCCCCCTCCCCCCGCTTTGCCTGTCTAAGTGTTGGGTATGGGGGGGGGCACTGTTCTTTCCCCTAAGCCTCAGAGCCTGGCTCTTTCCATTGACAAGTGGTGTGAATTTTCCCCAGGACAGAACAGCCCTCTGTATGTTCACACTCTGCCCCAGCCCCAGCAGAACAGACTCCTTTCCCCCAGAGGGGGGAGCTTGATCATTTGGCTGCTAAGGTACACGTTCTACATGGCTTTTCTATCCTGACTACGGATTTTCTTTTCTTTTCTCTTTTTTCCATGAGAATGTCTTAGAAGATTTGAGTGGTATTTTATTTTTGTTAAGTAGCTTTTTTGATTTTGATGGCTCCGTGCACAATTGTAAGCTAGCCTACTCCCTGGCACAAGATCTGTTTTGTATAGGCACACATGCCTCTATTTTTGTAGTTGTATCTTGCATTTTTATTATTTGTTGCACACCCACTGCTCCTGTGGAAACTTCACAGGGTCTAGTTGTTCTTTGCTGCCTGTTCCCACCCACACTGTTTACAATTCAAGGAGTTTACAGCTTGTACATCTTTTCCATTTCCTCCTTGAAGGAGATTTGTTTGTTCTTTCTTTGGATTTAACTGTTTCCCAAAGACGAAGGCTTATTTATTCCAGAATCGTGGAGTCCAGACCATCCATTTTCCTTCTTTCTTTTCACTACATTCTGTTGTATTTTCCCCCAATACAAACCCAGTCACTATCTTATAAATATTTTAGACATTCATCCTCAATGTCAAAAGCTACAGAGTCTAAGCAGATCTTTGAACTGCTTTAAAAAATTATTATAGTCATGTTTTCTCAGAGGTTAACTAAGTTATTCTCTCCAGCCAACACTGATATCTTGTCCTCATCTTAAAGGTCTCTTTGGAATTTTCCTTTTGAAATATATTATCTTTTTTTTTTTTTTTTACTGTTTTTAAAGGGCTCTACACTGAAATAAATATCAAGTAGATATACTACAGATAGAAAGAAAGTAGAGAATGTTAATTCATATTCAAGCAGAAATTCACAGATGATCCAATTCTGCCAAATCTTAATTTATGCCCTTATAGAATTTTGTGAGTAGCTAGAAGAGATAGTGTCACACAGTATACTCCCGAATCCTCCTTTTGCTGTCACATCTTTATCCCAAAGCTACTCTTTCTTGTTAATATGATGATGTCTGGATACAAAATATGAGCAGACACAGTTATATGCTCTTCGAATCCACCTGCACCTTTTTGGCATTCTGTAGGTGATTTTAAATTCCAGGCTGAGGAAGAAAGAACAAGAAAACCAACAAGAGGTGATCAGCTGCGCATGATCCGCCAGCTCTCCTCAGTTTCCTTCAGTGCTTCCCTGAGCTATCTTCCTTGTAACCAGAATCTTTTTTTGCTCTTGAAATCACATGATAGTAATACAGGCAGAGGAACCTTTAAGTTCCGTTTCTTTTCTTCTACCTACTGAAGAGAAGTAATTGTTTCTTTGGCTTCTTTCCCAAGGACAGGGTTGGAGTTTACACTGGGTGAAAGTTAGAGCTGAGGTTTCTACTGGCTCCCAAGTGATTTGTTCCTCAAGTGTTCTCTCCAGACCTTTGATAACATCTTAGAGACACTTGTCACTTCAGAGTCTCCAGACATCCAACAATTTAAGCAATTTTTTTTTCTAAAAACAATTACTTGTATGGTAGTTAGGAGAATTTTATCTTTCCCTTAACTGTATTTCAGTTGTGTGATTACTTAAAAAAATCTATTTGTATTAATCTTTATATGAGGTTATTACAGGATTATATGTACATTTATGACTCATGCAGAATTTAGTAGCAGAAATAGTCTATTTATATTCATGGACTCTTTTTTGGCAATGTTGGCAATTGAACTTAGGACCTTATGCTTGCTAGGCAAGTGCTCAACCACTTGAGGCATGTTCCAGTTCCTTTGGCTTTTAGTTTGTTTTCCAGAGAGCATCTGATGCTTTAGTCTAATCAGCTTTGGAGCTTTTGTCCAGCTGGCTTTGAACCATGATCCTCCTACCCCCAAGTCCCGAGTAATTACCATGAATTACCATGTCTGGCACTATGTTTACTTTTTTTAAAAAAATAGTCATATTTTAAACTTACACATACTATATAATTCTAGATGTTCACAAGATTTATAGTCAGAACTGTCAACTATTCATGTTAGGTTGATTTTCAGTAGTCAGGTGCAATAGCTTACAGTATAGCATATGTATAGCTTATGTAACGTATATATGTGGACACATATATATGAGTATTCTTTTTTAGCTTATATGTACTGATAGAGTAAATCATACATTATCCATGGTTCATTAAGTAGAGGTGAGTGGCCTTATGCTTGAAGTCTTCAGTTTATGTCTATACTCCACAGGAAAATTTGTTTTAGGGTTTATAGTTTACATATACAGTATCTTCAGAGTTTCTTACAGTCTTATGATTTAGGCAAAATATCTTACCTTGTCATCCATGGCAAGAGTGCCAAATTTAGAAAGTAGAGACCTATGTTCTGATAATTTAAAGTTCAGATATAGGTCTTGTGGTTATCTCTAGTGTATTTCTGCACAAAAATCGTAACACCAGGATGAACAATAATGATATCGTACAGTTCCATTGGTCTAACCTATTACAACGGCCTGTATGTGATAGTTATTTTTATCCTAATTTTATAAGACAGGTACCTGGAGGTTCAGAAAAGATTCAAACACAGAACTGCCTGATTTCAAATTCCATGCACATTTTGACTATATTAGACTAGCAGAAAAACTCTGTGTTAAGACCTTGAAAGAGGCTGCTAGATTTATATTTAGACCACTTGCTATTAATGTATAGGAGTCTTTGGATCATCTTCTTATGACTGTATTTCTTTGCTAATTTTGTGAAAATAGAACTGATGAAGGAGAAGGACCATACTACATTCCTGTTTATTCCTATTTATGTTACATATAATAAGTCAAAATGTTTCACCTTGAACACATTTCCTTGTAAAACACTGAAAGGCTTGCATCTGTAATAAGAGAATAAATCCAGAGTCATTGAAACATTGTCATCATAAACAAAATGGCTTTGGAATATGAGTGTTCCTTCACCCTGAGGGGGCCATATACTCTTGACTCCCCCACCTACCTGGGTGTTCTCTAAAAATGTCTACCTCCCAAAGCAGTGTGCACTTTAATATTAAAACTCAAACAACTGATAGTGCACAATCCACTGGAATGCCAGTCAGTGCTATGAAGGTAACATAAGAAAATGGCTAATAAAGCTCACTTTGTTTTCCCCAGTGCCTTCCATCTTAGGAGGTTTGTGCATTTCTCTAAGGCTGGAATTGGGAATGGAAATGGCTGGGGGAAATTATAGTAATCAGAGGGGACATCACACAATGGAATCAGTCCTTAATAATCCTGATAATAAATTACACTGTCATGAGCCAAATCCTTTATTATTTCCTCCTGCCCAATCAGCAGCAGCATAGAAAACCTTTTACTAGGGCCATTCTAAGGATTCCAGCAGTGCTAGCTGTTTCTTCCCGACGTGAACCTTCCAAGTCAGTAAAGAGGGCTGCTCTGATCCATCGGGCGCCCCTTGCTTCCTCTGCTTGGTATGGTGAAGTCTGCTCAGTGACCCCATTGTCCCTATCACTGTCACCCTCAGCATTGCTTCTATTCCAGCCCAGCCTCTGTTCCCATCCTGGGCACATTTTTGTTCCTTCTTACAGCTTCTCCCTTCTTAAGTCTCACCTTTATCTGTTAGCTAGAATCTTGTTAAGGATCTTTGCATCTGTGTTCATCAAGGAGATTGGCCTGTAATTCTCCTTTTTGGTTGGGTCTTTGCCTGGTTTGGGGATGAGTGTGATATTGGCTTTGTAGAATGAGTTTGGGATAGCTCCCTCCTTCTCTGTTTCTCTGAAGAGCTTGAGGAGTATGGGTATTAGTTCTTCTTTAAAGGTCTTATAGAATTCTGCTGTGAATCCTGAGGATTGACTCAGGGCTGGCTTTTGCTCATGGGTACCATCCTATCACTTTAGCCACAGTTCCACTTCCAAGTTTTCTGGTAGTTAATTGGAAATAAAAGTCTCACGGACTTTTCCTGCCCAGGCTGGCTTGGAACCTTGATCCTCAGATCTCAGCCTCCTGAGTAGCTAGGATTACAGGTGTGCACTACTGGCACCTGACTTATGTGGAAGTTTTTAAAACATTTCCGA